TTGTTGCAGATGCATAAAAAGGCAATGCATAATTTTTTCCTTTACTACGTTTAAATGACTTAAAACTAAATTATAATTTTAATTATTAAACTATTTCCAACCTAAGCCAATGAAATTAAATTGGGGAAAAAAATTTGAACAATGATCTTAAAAAAAGACTATAAGAATTTGTTAGCTTTGTGCATACGTGACTTGCTGGGGTTGGCTTTACACTTGAGTTGTTGTATTAGATCGTAGATCTTTAGGGCAGGTCCCACTTTCATGCCCAACAATGTGATAACCTCGTCTTTGGAAAGCTGCAGCAAGCGCTTGCCATCAATTTTGTTACGGCTAAATGTATCGCAGTGGGCAGTGCAGTCATTAACGCGTAGGAATTGCGAAACATCGTAAACATTCCACGAATCAGGCATCAATTCACCAATATGATCCGCAGACGCACTCGTATCCCCGCCGTCACTTACTCTTGGTATATATTTACTATTACTTACTGAGGAATTCTGAAAATAATTTATTGTCTTTAATAGAAATGAATAAATTGGGACGAAAAACAAAAGCCAATATTTGTTTCGTAAATTTTTTCCATATCCATCTCACCTTAGGGTAAATATATGATAAACTTTTTGTTAATCTTAAGCATAATTTATGCTTAAGTTGGATTGGTGTTTGCTATAATTGACAGATTATCAACGACAATATTTGCACATGTTTAATACTTTAGCTTCCAGAGTGGGAAAAAGCGAACCGTTTGCCTATTTTCGCAAATTTTTGATCACTTTGAAAACGTCATTAATTGCTTTCCACTAAAATACACAATATATTCTATTTTCCAATTGCTTATGCACTACCACTTTGCTATGGTATGGCTTGACAGGGTTTAGTGTGATCAAAATTATACGATTGCATACGACAGGCAATGAGCAAAAAACGCCGCGAATCTTCTGCCGCGCCTTCCCGACCCAACATGTTTTTGTATCAAACAAGTATGGGCCCAACTGGAAGGCTCAACGTTTTCTACGAATTTCGGAAAGCAAAAAATTGGTAAATCGCTTGATCGTAATGAGATACAGGCCCATACATTTTTACCCTTTTACGATGGATATAAAAAAGAGAACAGTTGTCAATGACATGCGAGTATCTATTTGTTATGATGCGTGGGAATGAGGGAATTATGGTAAATGCCAATAACAGTGCGTAAAGATTATGAAACTTTTTTTTTTTGAGGAGCGGAATGAATTTAAAATTAACTTTAAGACTTAAAAATATCGGTTAACGAATGTGAATGAAGAAGCAAGGAAATTTATGCACATACATATTAATGCATTCACATTTAAGTAACTTTGTAGATAATGGGAAATACGCACTATTATGTTGGATTTTACCACTTACCGCAATATAACTGTTAGCCTTGCGCCTAACAGTAGGCGGGGCAGGTGATTGAGATTTCTTTACCGACGTTCTATTATTCGATTTACGTACTTTTTCGCTATTAACAGCAGCGGGATTAACCAATAATGTTGTTGACGATGATGAGGTAGTTGTGCCAGAGTGCGTCGCGATAAATGATGCTGACGATGACGAAGTATCTATAAGATGGGCTGTTGACGATTGATTCGACTGCACGCTGTTGCTATCCTCTTCATAATTATCGGCCACGTCGTCATCGTCATCGTTAACACCTATGCTATTGTCCTCATAAAAGGCAGGATTTTGATGTTCAGGCTTTAATTCCAATTTAATGCTTAGTTTCGGTAAATGAGGATTTGTTTTTAAAGCTATAGTGCGACTTTTTGCTGTCGTGCAAAAAAGAAATACGAACTTTAAGATCCTAATACATCGCAAAATTGACCATGAAATATACGTACCTTGTGCTGCTTGTTCAATATTGAGTTTAGCCTGCGTTGAGAGAGCTGTTGTTGCGGTTGTGTTACTGTTACTCTTTTTCTTGCGTCGTTTCTGCGTTTTTGGTTTAGAGGGCGTTTTAGCAACGGCTTGTGTAGGCATTGGCGGTCCTTCTAGTTTGTGATTAACTAATACACACCAACCCACTGGATAAATATCGGCCGATTCACAATCTAACCACTGATCATATTCTTCCGTCCATCCGTCAAAATGTATTTTTAGCAAGCGACCCACTACACGGGCTACAGTAGCAACGCATACTAAGCGAGGATCCATGAGATCGGCGCATTCTAGGCTCATGCCCATCTTAAATATATACAAGTAGAGGATTATTTATATAAAAATGTACACGATCTTAATTAGCTTTAAAAAAAGAAAAAACTATAGTGGCCTTCCGAGATTTTATGGCGAATCATAGGTACCCGATATTATTTAAGTAAATTTGGATTTAATTATATTTTTCAATATAGTAGCAAGCAATTGATATATGATATTGTGATAAAAGGATCTTTTCCCCGGCGACAGGGATACTGGGGATAGTAATAGGGATGGCTTCCCCAAAAGTATGGAAAATCCAAAACGAAAATATGAAATTGTGAACATAACACGCGCTTGCCAATAATTCTAAAGCATGTTAAGACCTAGGGAATCCGCGAGAGTAAGGTTGCTCACTGACAAAGTCACGAGTACCATGCTTAAGCGGATACAGAGAGGTCCTTCATGTAATCGCTTGCACATTGACGTACCATGTGGAAATTTCGGTGGCATCTGCAATCACATTTTGAACGCAGCAGATTAACTGTTGGATGCGGCCGTCTGGGAAGCACCCGTGGTGGACGTGGTTATTCCAAAAATGGAGAGCATTAAATAATTAGAGGTGCTTGATAGTCCTTGGAATAGGCCCTCTCTCCTGCAGGATGATCTTAAAAGCTGAGAGATGTCCAAGTCATCTATATTAATTGCCAATAGTTCTAGGGAACTCGTCAGGTGCAGACGGTAAATATCGGCATTTAATCTGATCGAAAATTTATAAAATTCAAATTTGGGATGAAAATGGACGTGTCCCCCATTCATTTTTATGAGAATTTTAAAAACATTCAGCCTAAACTATTTAATACTCTACAGAGAATAATTGAGCGATAAATGAACAATAAAATGTCTTTTGAAAAGTGTTTGTGATATCGCGACCCAAATAACGCGTAAATGTGCAATCAATGAAAAGAATATTGCAGTTATATGCGATTGCTTGTGTTAGAATGAATTTCGCAGGGCAGTAGAACATATTACGCATTCAACGAAACAATCAAGTGTTAACTTAAGTTGGTTGAAGGGTTACCTCAGGGCAAATATAGTTCTGTTAGTTTTATGAACACAGAATATTTACCTCAAACCCATGATTAGGCACTTCACGGTGAAATAAATGCTCTCCAGCTGGAACACTACCCGTTTCTTGTAAATATATTTCCCAACTAAATGTATTTATATCATAGCCATTAGGGGGCGTTAAAGGAATACTGTTTGAGGCACAAAAACCAACTGGAAATATATTCGGTGATTTTTCATGATAACAAAACCTGACAATCATAAAAAGGTGACATATGTTAGAAAGGCGGATGCTTTTAATATCAAAGCGCCAATCACTTACCAATCCGAACCTGTAGCGTCTGGTTGGTAGGAGTCGATGCGTATCATCATGTAACCAAATTTCAAAACTGCCATTACAGTTGCTGCACATATCGAAGAAAGATTTAAAGGGTCCACAGCTTCTAATTTCATACCTTCCATAAATCCATTCGTTTTGCCATCCAAATAGTATTCCTCGAAGGTGAAATTCATTTTGAAAAGCTCAATGGTCGCATCGTCCTCATGCACTTCAATCATGGCTTCGCGGCCAGCTATATAGAGACGCAAAAAAAAAGAAAAAGGAAAAACTAATAAGAAAACCATATTCGACTATGCCCGAATCTTTGATATCCTTTTAAAAATAGAAATTCGTGAGTATGGGTAGCTTTTTCCATTCTTCTACAGGCTTTGTAGTATCATCCAAAGAATACATGTGAAAATTAGCAATGAGGAAAACGGTGCAAAGTGACTGGACACTGGTAAAGAATGTGAATTCTTTGTACGGTATTTGAAGCTTTCTTCCGAGTGTCAGAAACGTTTTGGGAGAATGAATGTACCTCCAAACTTCCATGGCAGATATAAGAGATATTTATTATCGACTTTAAAGTATATTTTGGAGATACTCAAAGTAGAAAATCTAATTTTGAATTTAATTCGTCATATGTATGAAATAAACTGAAGCAGGCCTTAGTTTTGTTATAATTTTAACTATTTTGAAAATTGCAACTACAGATGAGTAGAGAGAAATACAGAAATATTTTTGGCTTGTACAATTTGTTTTGGAAGTTTATAAAGACTTCTTTCTAGACTTTACAACCACAAGCAAACAATGAAAATTGCCGCATTTTTTCGTTTACTAGTGAGTATAAAAGAATGTACGCGTAATGTCGCTATTTATCTTTAGTTTGTATTTCATACCTAACATCCTCTCTAAGTAATCTTGCGGCGCTGCCAGATTATGGCCGACCGTTGTAGCCCAACCGACTGGATGTATTATAGGAGAATCCTCGTGACACCAAAAACCATCATCCGAATCGAAATAACGCAAAAACAAACGTTTCCCAACAATTTTCGTTACAGTAGCCAAACGCACTTGGGAAATACGATCTTTATCTACACATTCAAGATTTAAGCCGAGACGAAAACGCGATTGCATACTGTCGTTAACTTTATTATAGAAACTGGATGGTAAAGTACGTGCACCCGATAAACGGCTTACTAGGAATTCTTTCCAATCTTTATACTTATTTTCGATGGTACGGGGAGGTATTAAAGGCTTGCCACGTGTAGCACACCAACCAACAGAATGTACTTCAGCATTGCAGAGATTAACCCAAAAATCATGAGAGTCATCATCAAAACCTTTTGAGAAGTGATAAAGGAAAAAATTATTTTAAAAATTGAAATTTTGAATTTGTTTGCTTTTCGCTAAACGTAATAATAATTTTAAAATCGTTTTCACCTTCATATCTCATCAATGCCTTGTAACCATATATATTTAATATGGTGGCGACCCAAAAAGAATGTGGAGTCTGTCCTGGTTGTATTACTTCCATTTGATCACAGTCAGTATTTTCAACCTCTACTTTCATATCGATGCCAAGATTATCCCACACATCGTAACCGGGGGCATGAGGGAAGCATGTTACTGGTGCCGCAAAGAAATCTTTGCTCGCTAAACGTTGAGTCCAATCAAATGAATGCGTAGGATCATATAACCGTCTTCGAATGCTAATGATTTTTTCCAATTGTGGACACGGCGTCGGAAGACGCTCTAATTTTGGTATTTGTGGCAATTCTTCCTGAGGCATAACGTCTCGACACATACGTACGGCTTTGGGCGCTTGCTGATTATTTGCACTCAACTGCAGGCCGCTACCATCATCAGCTGTTGTCGATTCTAAACCATTATTCGCTAGACTGCTACCACTGTTGACCTCTGCAACGTTTTCTGATATTTCTGTGTTGTTGTTTCCTGATTCATCATAGCCATTCACTTGCGTTAATTTGGATTGATCGGTAATGCGGAAACGATAGTTGGCATTTTTAATATGAGCCACACGCAAAGCTAGTTCTATATCTGAAGACTGCTGCTTTTGTTGCTGCTCGGACTGTAATTGTTGGTCATTTAGAAGACTTTCCATATTTTCTCTTTGATGTTGATGTTGTTGGTTTGTTGATTTGTTATTGACCACTAATGAGTATAATTCCCCGCGAGCACATGCCATACTACAAAAGCGACGCGATTTTGTATAGAAGGTATGCTTAACACCTATTGCTCCGCACCGCTCACAAACAGCTGTAAAAAGACAAGGTAATAAAAAATTAACTTTTGGAAATATTTTGCTTAAGTAATAAAAATTAAAAAGAAAAAAATAAGTTAAATTGTGCCCTAAATTGAAACCAAAGGTTGGACATACATTAAAAAGTGATGAAAATGAATTTTTTTTTTGGCTTAACATCAGCAAAGGATTGATATGACAATCCTCATACACGTTTTTCCCTAGTTTTGCAACAGTTGACTGAAAAAATCCTCTTGGAAATTTTGCACTGTGCAGACACACGAGTCTACGCTGCTCGAAAAAAGCATTAAATTCACGAAGTTTCTGTGAACATTATCACAAAAAATTCTCGATATTTTTTTTAGAAGTTTTTATTAAATTCTATGTGCAGAATTGTATGATGCTTTCTTCAATAAAAACTTCTAAAATATATGTGATATATGTAAATATTTTGTAAACGCTTTTAAGTAATTTAACATAAATCAGAAATTATAAAGTAAAACGAAAATTAACACATACCCATGCCATCTTTTTGAATTGGTATAACTGACGGATCAATATTACCCTTGTAGGCAATTGGGGTTTTCAATACTAAACCGGGTCGATTAACAGGTTCAATTTTACGAGTCTTACGTTGGGCACGTAAACTATTATTGCCACTGCCGCCGCCAGCAGATGAAGGCGACGCTGACGCTGTTTGAGCTGTCATTAATAAATTTCGATTTGCAGCTGCAGCTGCCTCCGATAAAAGCTTATGCTCTTGGCTGAGGGGCTCTAGTAAATCATGCTCGTCTATACTATTTGGTTGAGTTATATCGATACCGGATGATTTCGCAGGATGTACAAATTCTGCGCCATCATAAGAATTGGAATCTGTCATCATAACAAAATCATCTATATTAATAATTTCCTGTTTGGGAGTGAGATTGGCAACACCGTCTTCATAACCATCGTTATCCATTTGGTCATAGACCAGTTGCTGCTGTTGCTGTTGTTGTTGCTGATGCAGATTGTGATTAGTAATAAATTGTGTCTGTATACGGTTATTACCGTCATTCAAACTATTATTAATTCCGGTTACTGTAGAGGAGCCGTCATCGTCTTCTATGGCGGTGTAGTTTTGAAATACTGTGGCTGCCGATTGTTGCAGAAGTTGTTGATGCAAACCACCCATTTGGGCCAGACCGTAAATATCATTTGTGTTCGCAGCCAATAGAGTAGTGGGTTGGACACCCAAGGCAGCGGCGGCAGCAGCAGAAGAGGCCGCTACAGCTGCTGCTGCAGCTGCCGCATGGCCACTAAAATCCCCCCCAACTATACTCATTACAGGATTTAGGTCCTATGCACAGTTTACCAATTATCGTATTCATATTTTAGGTTTAGCACATTGGCATTGTTGGGGAAAGGATATTTTAAATATTTTCAATTTATAATACAGAATTTTTAGGTGGAAAAACAACAACAGCCAGTTGAAATAAACGAAGAACCGAATTTGAATCGAACGAAATATGTAAAGAAAAACAAGAAAAATAATAGACAAATCAAATTTTGGAAATAAAAGATTTTTTGCAAAAGTTTCTAATCTTTAAATATGAATTCAAATGAAATGTACGAAGCAAACGAAACACGAAATCATATGAAAAGTGAACGAAATAAAATGATCGTGAATATTGAATTAAAGGTAAATGCTGAACTATTTCGTTGAGCCTATTTTCGTAGTGAATTCTATACAGATATTTTAGATTGAGCTGTTTTTTAACACTCAAGCTCTATCAAGCTCTTACCACTGTTTGTTGATGCGTCATATCTACAGACGATGGATGGAAAAATGAAGTAGCTTCCTCTAGTGATATACGGTCGGGATTATATTGATTCATCCACATCATTGTCAGTTCGGAGGGATTCATTTTATACATGTAATATTTGTTAGTTCTTAATTACATTTATGTTATGTTATGTTTATCTGCTGGCTGATGTTCCAATTATTCAGATTTTGTTGAAATTCTCCAAAGCTGGGTGTAATAAAAGCAGAAATATTAGAAAAATGACATTAGTTTTTATTTATAAATTTACAAGGGCAAGATCAAAGAAAAATTTGTAGTACGACATTACACAGTAGTGCAATGATATGGTGAAAAATAAGTAGTATAGTGCACGCTGTGATTGTATTGGGGATTTAGATGTAAAAGATATCATTTACATGATATTGCAGGAAATTATTGCCTTTAAGTGAACTTCGGCAAAAACATATGCAAATAATGAAGTTTGATGTTTTGGTTTGCTTTTTAGGATGCGAGAACGATTATATCCATTATATCCTTAAAAGACTTTTCGCCAAAATATTTGTTATTACCGATTAAACGCCTTCGTTGCTGTTAAAAAACTATTTAAGCCGCCTGATGCCAATAGAAATTTTCCAGACGTATAATGATTCCATTATTCGATTGAAGAGGATTTATTTAGAGATCTTTTACTTCTTAACAGCTGAATGAAAATTGTTTTCTATTTTCAATTAGTCCTTGTCTTAATATATTAAAGTTGCAGATGTAGTTTGTACCTTTTCTATAAAATTACTACCACCCAACAACTATCGTAAGTATGGACTTTTGAAAAGCGACTTTTTTACTACCATTCACCTGGGCTTTGTTTGTTGCAACAGGTAAACAACTGAGAAGTTCACACTTGTCATTCGCAAGTATCTCCGACTTTTTGAAATTTACCGAATGAGTTTGCATTATTTACAAATTTCCTCCCTTTCCGCAACTTTAACGTAGTCAAACGAATACCCATTGCACGCGTTTCGACTATATTCGAATAAGCTCGGACCAGAAGCCTTTATGGAATTGCAAAACTTATAGGCTTACAACAAACCAAAAAACTTAACATTCTTGATATCCTTCAAAAAGACCAAAAAAAGAAAAAAATACGATAAAACCCAATAAATGCGCTTCAAAATAAACATGCACAAAACACAATTGCAAATAAATAAATATGTAAAGCAAATTAACAATCAAGAGTTTATAATTGATTCCACACAATGCTTTTTGGAAATATTTCGGAATTGGTATTTTGCTTCGTTTTTGTTCCTTAATATTGTGTTTAATAAGCACACAAACAAAGCGCGATTTTTTATGTGTGAGTACATTCTGTGCCTCAAAACTAGAGAATAAAAATCACACTTTTACACCGAAAAGAAAAAAAACAAATTTTGAAAACAAATTTTTGCACGCTACTCACCTAATTCTTATAAAAATTAAATGATTTCATAAAATTTACAATTTTTACAACATTTTCTCACTAGTTTTTAAAATTATTTTGTAGATTTTTTGGCAAAAATTACAATTTAAGAATTAATTAAATGAGAGAGTGTGAAAAAATATTAAGCAAATTGCCAGCCAAGTCCAAAAACTGGCATTGCCAGCTCGATCCTTTTATAATAAGCAAAATTATTTTTTGCAATTATTTGGCATTACCGTAAGAAGGTTTGTGGAATGTAAGCACTTTCATGTACTGGCAGCTCCACTTAGCATTGGCATGTTTAATAATATTTTGCAGTTATTATTGAGTTTATTATCTCCGCCAAAGGACACACTTACCCCTTATAAAAAAAAAAAGAATCCATAATGCCTACGATAATAGTTTTAGACATTCCAATATCAATGTAAAGAGTAGAACCCGTAGAACGCTTCTATTGACATTGTCGATTCTGCATTTTGATTGGTTTAATTTTTGTTTACATGCTGAAGCTTCGTTTTGATTCGTTCAATTTTTGTTTATATTTTCGTAGGCTCGTTTTGATTGGTTCAACTTTTGCTTACATTGTCGAAGGTTCGGAGGAGATTTCGTTGGAGACTTCGTTTTGACCAGTTCAATTTTTGTTTATGTTACACCTTGCACGTGATTATTTATTTGCATTCTAAAGAAGTTATTTCTACTTATTATTGTTAGTAGTTATTTCATTTATAATAACACATTGTAATTATTATTATTATTCTTATTCTTTAATCACGTATAGATACACCTGCCCACTTTTACTATTGTTAAAACCTTTTAAGCAAAGAAATGAAAACGAAGTATATATTGCAATTTTTGAAACGTCGTTACGAAAGTTTGCAATCCATTCTGCCGTGTAAACTCAATTGAACAGCAAATATTAAGTGTAATGCCTTTTCTTACTAAATTTAGAACTCAGCTGTCATTGGAAATTGAACATAAACTCAATTTAGCATACTCGGCGCGTGATTACGCGCTAAGTATGTTATAAGCAATTGATCAAGCAGTTAAATTCCAAATTTGGAGTTTCAATTTGACGAAGTTTGCACAAACTTGAAAACGATATTTTCGCGAAAGGAGGACGTGCTGCGAGGTGCGGCTTTTGCAACGAGGACGCCGCGGAGACCGAGCCGCACGGAAAAGGAGGAAAATTCACCAGCAGCATGTACAAAAGAAAGCGGGTAGACGGCAGCACCCACTTAATACGCCTATTATATGCCTGCCCCTATTTAGTAGAAGGGCTACTAAGTAAATACAGGAGGAAAAAGAAAAACAACTATGATAAAACTGCTTAAGAAGCTGGCGGAAATGGAGGCACCCAACTCTCCATATTGGGAGCAGACTGATTTTATGCCCTCGTATAGCGCCATGGGGGTCGCGATTATACAATTCCTGAGTAATATACAGGTCGCGACTTTCCACGCGGCTATAAACAACTCGACAACCCCGACGCCAAGCCTAAAAAAACATGTGACCTAATCTTGGCACTGACTGAGTTCGCCAAAGTCCTGCACCAGAGCTCCATTAACAGGAGGACGCGGGTACAGCTGAAAATGATTAGTTGGCACCACAGCTTATGTTTTCTCTAAGCTTAGTCGCATTCCGAATTCAGTTCTTTGTCAATAATATTTATGGTTGGGCGCATATGTTCGAGCACGTTAAGCGGTCCTTGGGATGTTCTTTTGGTCATTTCTAACTTTGTCATAGTTTATTTCACTTTTATGGGCTTATTAAGTATGGCCTGCTTCTAAATTTATGTTCTACCTTTGTATATACGAGCTCTACTAGAAATTATATGATCCATGCGGTCCCCCAGAATCAAGACCCGATAATAGGGTACTACAGGTCACTGTTGAGTCTGACACATCGCGAAGTGCTAATGAATTATCATTAAAGTTTGGTTTTAGCAAACAAACAATATTAATTCACTTAAGTCAAATCGGGAAAGTGAAAAAGTTAGATAACTGGACTCCTCATGAAAACTGGGCTTCCCAGAATTCACACACTCTCGTCAGCCAGGTTTTTATACCACTAGCGTTAACAACCTGCCAAAAGTGTCCAGACAATGGGAGCGCACATTCTGATGAATAAAATAATGTCTTATATTCTATTTATAAGTTATCAGGAAATCTTGCCTTTTTTGCAAATTTCATCATTGACGACCTAATATTAATAATAATACTTTCATATTTTTTGAATTGAATTGTTACGGATAAAATGCCAATCACCATCATTATTTTTGATATCCTCATTTTTTATAAATGAAATATTGTTATGTTTTGTAAACGTATTTTATGAATTATACTTTTGTAAACAAATTGGTGTAACTTTTACAAATAAATTTTTTATTTTATGGGATTCTTAATTTTATCTTTTCTTGGTAACATACTCTGGCAAAAGTTGACAGATAAATACGTACATCCTAAATATGCCCAGCGAATAGTAGGTAGCATTGGCAGCCATGGTAAAAAAATAAACTTTTGTGAGTGCTCTGAAATTAAGCGACTTTCGTCTTGTCCATAATCGTTTATTCTAAATCAATCAATCAATAGCGAGACACGTGAGGCTTACATAATAAATATTTTAATCAATACTCCAATCTTTCCCAATCAACCCTTGAAACATCATGACTTTTAGCAAACGGTAGTTGAAATACTTTTTCTGACGTATCTTTCCTGGGTTAGGCAAAAAAGGAAAAAAACGAGAATTTAAAGAAAAAAACAAATAATAAAAATGAGAAAAAAAAGGGAAATAAGAAAAGAGTTTTTTGAAAACAAACTAAAATAAAAAGTATTAATAATTGATATAAATCTTTAGTGAATTCATTTTGGAGTGAGAATTATTTTTTTGTTCGCACAGTTGTAAGCTTCTTTTTAAAAATATATATATTAAATAGTTTTCGTCCGGATTTTTGGTAAGTGTTCCCCGGGATTTTTTTCTGGAATTACATCAGCGGTCATCGATATTTTAGACAAAAATTAGATGGTTGTGCTCTGTGGAATGACTATGATAGTAAAGGATACTTAGATATTTACAGGAGTTATATTGCAAGTGTCAATCAGATTACAATACATTCAATTCCTTTTATAACAATGCATTCTTCTCATTACGTGAGCTAATGTATGTTATACATTCTAAATAGGGAGCTAGCGCTGCAGGCTGTGATGGAGTTAAGTATGACATGGTCAGAGCACTGTCTGGAGGAAGCTTAACTCTCCCGTTGCTTGCAGTTAATAACTGCTGGTTTATTAACTTTACACCCTTAGATTTGCGATGTACCAAACCTATTCCAGCTCCTAACGCAGGTGACGACTTAAATTATTTAAGCAACTTCAGACACATTTCGCCAATATCTGTATTCATAAACATTATTAACCTCATGGTTAAGCAGAGACTATTGGATTTCTTGAAAACTGCGAACGTTATTCCAGCTCGTTCTCAAATCTACGCATATGTGCGGTAATGAACAATCTTTTCTCATAGCTAGTTTAAACACAGCCGGTAAAGTGGTTGTTATGTTTTCTCTGGACATCAGCAAAGCACATGACTGTGTCAACTTGATTAAGCAAAGTAGAATTCTCTTAAACTTTTCAATTCCTCTTCATATATGTCTGTGGATACTAAAGTTTTTATTCGAGCATGTGTTGGTAGTGGACACAGGCAAAGTTGAAATGTACGGTGGTATTATACAAGCTTGAGCCCCATAGTCTTCAATCTGTATACAGCTAGTTCGCACGATCTGCAAGATGACAAAACGCATATTTTTTAATATGCAGACGGTTTCTTATTTGTATCCGCGGATTTATCCTTTTCGGTGAATAACCTCTGGATAAAAGCTAATCTTTTCTTCGATGCATATGTTGATCTTAATTTACATTTTAAACCTAGCAAAACAAATACAAAACAAACAACAAAAAAACAGGTTCTAAACGCCAAATTAGGCTCTTTATCAAAGAAATTAAAGTTAATCAGGTAAATCTATTCGATTTCTTGGTAGAATATTAAAAAAGCAAAATTTTCTTAATTAAATGATAGTCCATATCACGGAACTAACTTCCTTGATTAGAAAAGCGAATTTGTTCTGTTTTTAATTTCTCTACGCTGAATCATGTTTTATCTCGATAACATTCCTGTTTTTTTCACCCAAAGTTTGCAACACTTTTTTTGCATCACTTTCAACAACTCAACAATCTACATTTACACTTATCATATCGGTTTTAACTATTACGGTCGCAGTTGTTTTGTTATATTTTATATACATTTCTTGCTTATAAATATTGCTGTTTATTATCTGAACATATAAGCCCCAAAGTTTGGTGGGTTAATCCACACCCAAAAAAAAAAAAAAAAAAAAAAAAATGCCGACAATAATAGCTTTAGACATCTCAATATCAATGCAAAGAGTAATTGCAGGTAGAAGTGAAGAACTCGCTCTAACTTACCATCAATTGGCTTTGAAAGGGATTTCGCAATTTTTGGAACATTTAGGAGCTGCAGCGAAGCTGGAATATGTGGCTCTAATCACGTTCGGTAGTAGTTGTGAATTAAAAGTAGATTTTACTAGAGACTACGATCAAATAAAGCAAACAATGAAGAAAACGGAACACGGCGATAAATTGTGTTTATTAACTTTAATGAAAACCGTGTCTAACATATTAACTTCGAATTGGGGAACTCAATCGCAGAGTCAAGTGGTCGTTTTTTCTGATTGCGGATTAGGCTTTGGGAAAAGTTCGATACGCACTTTTCTGCAAAACTACATTGGTAAAGAACTTGATGCGGAGTTTAATTGGTTGAAGCCTTTAAAAATAGTTAAGTGGAATTTCATTTGTTTGGGCATACAAAGTGATGGCTATTTTACACGAGCAGTAGCAACATATCAAAAATTGTTGGACTATACTGGTATAAAAGGTATAAAGGTATTTTTTTCAAATTTTTTTGTTTGATTTAGTTTTAAATATCTTGATTGTATTTAAGGACAACTTTTTATGCCAAGACCTATTAAAGACAGCTCGGATACTAATGAAAACAATTCCAATGAATTGCTAAAAAATACTTTACCTACACACAAAAGTGAATTGGGGCGCACTGCCATGTTTGAAATGGTCGAAAAGCTATGCGAAACTAATTTTAAACCGTTCGAAGTGATTTTGAAATGCGGAGGTTATTTTCGTTTAGAGTGTCCAATCTTAATATGGCCACCGCCTGCACCTTATTATCCATTAAATAATGCTAAGAATGCAACGCCTTTAACCTTAGCTTCAAAGCTGGAAGTTTGTGGTTACTTGTCTTTATCCGATATTGGTTCACCGGCTTCTCTGAGTAGACACTTGATTCTACCAAAAGTGGAACGTGAAAAAGTCAGTCGCCGAACATCCGATAAATCTGCAAATACAGCTAAACTAACTAGTGACAAAACTCCACGTTTGGATGTGAATCAGCCAAATTATGAATACGAAAAATTAGAACAAGAAATACGTGAATTCTACACGAAAGACGTTAAAGACTCTGATGACGCAACACAAGCAGAGGAATTTGATAGTAAGACATCTGTGAGCTGCAGCATGCCTAGTGAAAGCCAAAAAGAATCTGTATGCGTATTATTGCATGGAGTCCTGAAGGTAGAAAATCTAGCAGCTTTAGTTATTCTCAATGAGAATTGGTACGGATTTTTATTTTCGTATGCAGATAGCAAAAAGAAGTCTAATCTAATGTTAAATATATTACCGCCTGGCAATAATGTGATACCATGGTTGGGCGATATGCAAATGTTGGGATTAATTGAGGATCTGATGCCGAACGAGAGTTCCACTTTTCCAGTTAAAGCAGAAAAACGTTCCTATTCTCAGAGCTGCGTTGTATGGATTAATCGCGTGAGTCTTCAATCCGATATACAAAAAGTTTTAAGACATGCTAAAAAAATGCCAGAAAAAATGCAACATTTTTACAAAGAATTAAATCGGATACGCCGCGCAGCTTTGTCGATAGGTTTCGTTGAATTGCTGGAGGCAATGGCCACTTTGTTCGATAAGGAAGCTCTTAATTTGGCGGCAATAAATGCGAATCCTGAATGCGCGCTCCAATTGAAACATGCTTCTATAGAGTTGCGTAAACCTTCAAACAGAGATTTAAAAGTCTCCATAGTGCCAGTGCAAGCAGTGAATATGGCATAGGCCAAGAAGGTTTATGACCTCTATGTGGTATACTTTTGAACGTGAATGTAAATATGCGCCTTTAATTTAATGCGAAAAACATAGATGTCTATAGTTCATTACGTCTGTTACTTTATTTTAAAGAGAACTTACTTTAAATAAAGTAAAAAAGCGTAAAAATATTTGTAGTTGTTGTTGTCCACTGCAACGATTTTAATAATGATTGTTTTACTCTTTGTTTTTGGCTGCGGTTATGTAGAGGATCAGAAAAATGCTACGTTCGTAAAATGCATAGAAAAGACGTTTCCGCACTTATTATGTGAAATCCTTAACGGCTAAAGACGATGCCCTAATTGTCGACAATCATTGCCCCTTCCGATGTTTTGTTAAATAAGAATGACAATGTAATCATACTGATACTGATGCTGAAAAATCAAGCGATGAAAAGATAATCGAAAATTTTCAGCACAAAATGCTTCTCCTCTATAGTTTATACTCAAATAAATAAATAAAATACATAAGAGTTTAGCTGCGCGCTTTGATTTCTGGAAATAAATCTGAGCCTTTGGAACTTGTTGTGCTATTTTAGCTCTTACTTTGTTTATTCCGTTTTTAAATGATTTGGTCATGTGTTGTGTTGATGCCGATGATGTGCAGATGGCTTAGGCTACAACACATTCTGTGGAAAGCGTAAAAAAGGTAAAAGAAGGTAAACATATATAAATTTATTATTAGCTTAAAGCCGAAGGTTACACAATATCACGCCTTTTTTCAAGGGTAGGCAAGTCAATGAGCTCCAATCTATTAATATAGAGTGGAAGAGGTAGCGCAGGATCCCATTCCAAACCTCGCAAAGCAAACTTCAAGAAGTTCCGTTGAACAGACTCCAAGAGATGCACACAGAATGTATAACTAGGAAGCGAAACTACCGACGAGCATTCAAGGGTTGGTGTAACTAAAGAAGTATACAAGCACTTCGTAATGTACGAGTCATTGAATTATTTAAACCTTTTTTTTATAAACTCTAAAAGGGATCTAGCTTTACTCAATGAAACTTCTATATGAATATCAAACGTGAGTTTTGAGTCGAAAACAACTGCCAAGTCTTTAATTGCAGACATTTTCCAAAAGGTGCGTATTACACTAAGCAACCTTTTTTTTGAATTCAACACCATAGCGTTGATTGCATACCATAAACACAGGTACTCCAGGTCAGTCTGAAGAAGTTTAGTACTATGTATTGAGTTAAAGGGGAGGCAAAGTTTAATGTCATCGGCAACCATTAAAACAGGGGAATGTTGAATACACTCAGTCGCTCACGAGGTGACTGTTCTGAGAACACCGTACATGCGACCGGAGGGATAGTTATTGAATTAGGCGATCATACATTGTATGTTGTCAGAAGAATGACGAAATGTGGTTTATTTAATGTAGATACAACGTGTATGACAATAACACATCGCTAGAGGACTTATTAAAAAGACGGCTTGGTCGATATAGGAGATGATTTATGGGCCAAGTTGTCGGCTCTGGGCAAGTCGAGGCCTATTTCGCACCTCTGAGTACTTAGCGCTCCTGCCACTTGTGGGGTAACTTCAGCCGCCACGGTATTATAGCCAGCTCTCACGCCGACGTTAGTTACGTATTGAAAAATGCGCAAATCGTTTCTTGGTGCATGTGACATAATAGATATCCTGACATCCGTGGCTCCCATAGTTTAATGCTTATGGCTATCCGACATTACGCGCCATTTATGCACTCATGCATTTGCGTAAAATATTTTGGACTACGATTCGAGCCAGGCGATATACGCTCATTTGCACTTAGCTAACCAAATACCACATACCAAAATTACTTTGCTTTTCAACCCCAATCGTAAGACGAAGCAAAAACGAACTTCTTTCGTCTCGTTTAAAAAACAATTTTACTTCGATTTCGCGCTTCTCCATCTATCTCGAGTTCACCTCAGGTGACGAACATCGGAAACTTTCTCATTTTCGGTAGGCAACAGCTACTCGACCAACGCTTAATTGCTTTGTAAATTGTTTTTGTGTTTGTTAATAGCTCTCCTCCGACATTGCTTGAAATTCTACATCTTCGTGCATTTTTGGATAGTTTTCCCTGTTGTTTGTCTGCAATAGCGAAATCGTCTTTTTGAAACAAACTTGAAGTGATGTAGGTTTTAATACTTATAAACATCCAAAATTAGGAACAAAGTATAGCACCACGAAATACTAAGAAATGTAATGAAAACATAATTTTTTTTATTACTGAAATGTCCTTTTATTAAAACAAGCAACAATTTACAATAATTTACTTTCTTCGTTCGATTCGTTTATATTCGTGGAACAAAGAAGATAGCCTTAATATATCATTCATGTTTCTATTTTGTAATTACAAAACGTGGAAACAAAATACCGAGTAATTCAGTATTGTTTGCCGTGGCCTAAATTTTTCATGTAACACTTAGGTCTCTTGTTTATAAAGGGACATCATCGAGGTTAATTTCTTCAAGTTCATGCAAAATATCTTCATGAACACGCATCTGAGGATCCTGAAGTAAAAAAACAATTAAGTGCAATGAATAAGGATTAAAGACTATATTTATGCCTACCACTATCAATATGCCACTTTTCTCGGCCGAAAGTCATTTTTTCTCTAATTCTATTTTTATTCGAGAACCAAAAAAAAAAAAATAATGTTCTTGTAATATACAATTTGCCGTTATAGGACAAATCGTCGAAGATGAATTTGTTCGATTCGTTAGCGCTTATTTCAAAAGTTTGATCCGGCCGAACACAGACCGCGCCAAAAAGATACTTTGGAAAAGAAAGATGATGATAACTATAAAAAATGAAATCATTTTTTGCACAGAAGCATTTAAAATTTTCGCGATTTATTTTAATTGCTAACTATTCCTAAGCTTTAAAGCCTCTTCGTTTACGATCGTTGAGCATAAAACGAAAACCCGAAGCTAATTGAAAGGGTTCAGTTTTTGGATATGTTTGCAGGCTACACCCTGTACAAAATTCGGAAATTTTTGATAATGAATCGAATTTAAATTGAGGTACAGTTTAAGAAAAGTATAATATTTGGGTAAAAACATGTGCACATTAGGTGTAAATTTTAAAATTTAAATTTTTGAAATGAATATTTTTTATTTTTATTTATTTTCGTTTTTAATTTACGATTGACGTGGAGTTTTTATCATTTACGAGTAACGAGCACGAAACCGCCAGATGTTCTCGGTTATTCTTAAGTCATATTGCATTGTAGGCGCGCCCATTGACCGTTGTAACCCGTTTCCCATTCCTGTCTATGTACGACAACTAGTATGTGTAGAGTCGCTACATTCATTACGAATAGACATAACAAAGAGGTGCAGACAGACCCATGCGCCGGCCAAAAATTGATTCAGCATTTGATGCTGATTAAGAATATATTTATTACATAGGGTCCTTGAAGCTTACTTTTTGATTTTGTAAACGAATTGACAAAGTCAATATGCCTCCATTATTCGGTTGTACATTTAAAATGGAAATAAAAATAAATTGCATAATGTGTATATACCTGCGGGCGTCCTCCGCCTAATACGGTACATGTGAACCATGCTTTCAATACAACGTGGTACAAAATTAGCGAGTATATGGCTTCCATACAATACGATTTCAAGGAATCGACTGTGTGCTGGTTTGAATTAATCTTTGCTTTTATTTTTATAAGCAGAGCTTTAACCAACTTTGACAAAAAAAATGGATTAACTATTTTGCGATTTTGAGTATAGTTTTAGCTTTTGCATATCATCATAATGTTAAGTTTTTTCTATCTTTTTTGCGGAAGCTTATAAAAACAAAAAAGTTAGTTTTTCATCTATATGCACATTTGGAAAGGAATTTCATAATAAAATCTTCGTCAAAAAATTTTACACTTTAAGACTTGGCTTACACATTGCATTAGTTTGCGCCATTTCAAGGTATCGTATAATACATTGCGGACGCGCACTTTTGTTCCCTACACCTTCACATTAAGTTTGGTACAAGGTACGTTAAAATTACGCGGATGTGTGTAGCACACAGAAGGACGTAAGATACACCAATCTTCTATAGTACCGATCGATTCAGAAAATGGTTCTCAATGATTTTGATTCGATTTAAGTCTAGTCTGGTCGCAATAAGTACTCTGATGTGTTTTGGCCAAAGATGAACGGTATTGAAAATAATGAGACTCGGTCCACTTTTCCGAAAAAAATTACAATTTTTAAAACTTCTCGGCAAAACCCGCAGAGTAATAGTACTTGGATATTTTAAATTAGAATGAAAAATTTGGTTCGGCGGGGGCAATTTTTTAAATCCACTTTCGTATAAGATCTCCTATGCAAACTGAGTCTTTATATGGTAAAACGGTCTAATTTTCAATATTTTGTGATGAAATGAAATGGAACGATTTATAATAGTAAATTGACAAAGAAATTAATGTTTGGACCACACAGGTCTATTTATTTGATACCCCTGCATATAGGGATTCAGGATATGTAAACACTTATATATCATAAATTCCTAATTGTTAATATTTTATGATGAAAATTTCTCCACGATAGTTGTTTGACATTAAGAATTAAGTGGGCCTAATTTGAACCTGGTGGGTCTATTTCTTGGACGCAAACGAATGTAAGATTTCTAATGAATAGTAAGCCCTTCAAAAACGGTTTAATTTTTAATATTTTATGATGAAAATTAGTTCGCAGCAGCAATTGAGCAAAAAAATTAACAACAAAATATGGATCACATACGTCAACATATATGGGGGTTATCATGAAAAGCAACATACGGTAGATGGTTGCCTAATAAAATTTTCTATAAATCAGAACAGTATCAAAAAATGTATTGCATAAATGGATATAATTAATCCACAAACACACCCACAATTAACAAAACTTCTCAGATTTCTAGTTTCTAATGATGGATATATTCATACATTCATTTTTATATTTACCAGATGAGCGTATTTCCAACATTCTAAAGCGTTATCTCTATCCCCCAATTGCAAATTTATCAAGGCGAGGTAACACCACGTATTGGGATTATAAGTATGAAAAGCGGTTAGGTCAGCAAAATACTCTTTCGCCTCCTTTAAGCGTCCCAGCTTGAGAGAGATGCAAAGCAAACATATCTTAACTGAAATGTCATATATTATCGTAGACAACTTACATAATAAAGCGCTTTCGCTTTGCCCATGTAAGTTATTAATCGATGCTCTTCATAATGACCGGCAAAATCGAATGCTTTAATTGCCTTTTCATATTCATTTTTAGCCCCCATTCGGAAAGCATAACGAATTACTCCTACTTGGTAATCATACGTATTATTTAAGTCCGTAATATTTAATATACCAGAGTAGTAGTCCTCGTGTGAGCTGTCATCACTGGGATCAAGAAAATGTTGTGCATTACCATTGATTAGCAGAACAAACGCTTCCTAATGAATAGATGTGAGATGATGAAAAGTGTTAAGCAAGTTATTAAGTGATATTCTTACTAATTCGGCTTTATTAAACTCGCTATTTAAGACAAAATTTTGTGGAATAAAATCTCCACCCATACTGCCCATGTGAAGTTTCAGACTTGTTTCCAGAATGTATCTTTCGACATCTGAACAATAATCGGCGACCTCCTCAAATATCCAGGATGCGAACTGATATAAGCCCAAGCATAAAAGGAAATTAATTGGTTCCCAAAAATATTGCAACTTTTCCGATTGGGATTTCGGTTTGTAGTTGTTAAAGATCTCCCAACGACTTTTTGGTAGGTACATGCTTTCAACGAAACCGCCTTTAATTACGTTCTCATAATTGAAGCGTGCATAACTCATGCCTGGTTGATAGTTATATTTTTTATATGCGCAATACAAAAGCATCCAGCCTACTTTAGAGTTTGGTTCAGATGATTCACAGAATTCGATTAGAGCGTTTATAAGGGTTTCATCAGCCGTACTATTGTTTTCTTCCGCCTCGATTGCACGTTTTTCATATACCAAATAAATTTCAATTAGTGAGCAACAAAATTGTCTGTTATTTTTAAAATCATATTATTTGAATGTGTGATTGTTCGGCTAAGGGACCTTACCTAAATGATTCTTCTTGTAAATCAATAATATGTGAAGGCCTTTTTAAATAATTTCGTGCCGATTCGTATCTTCCCATCTCAATATCATAGATGAACATAAAAAATCGAAAATATGGACTTTTACTGTACATCTTCTCTAGCTAAAAA